CTGTCTCTCTCTGTCCCAAAAATAGATAAACGTTGAAAAAAAAAATTTAAAAAAAAAAAAAAACAACAAATAAACGTGAAAAAATTTAAAAAAAAAAAAAGGACACACACTAAGTGACTGGTATAAAAAGTCACCAAGTATCATCAAGGGAACAAAGTATTTTAGGGAAAGGGAGGGGGCAAAACATTAAGAGAGTCTTAAATATGGAGAACAAACAGCGGGTTACTGGAGGGACTGTGAGAGGGGGGATGCGCTAAATGGGTAAGGGGCATTAAGGAAGAGACTTGTGGGGATGAGCACTGGGTGTTATACATAGGGGATGAATCACTGGAATCTACTCCTGAAATCACTGTTGGACTATATGCTAACTAACTTGGATGTAAATTACAAAATTTAAAAAAAATTTAAAAAGTATTTTAGGGCAAGATGATGATGGTGGCAAATCAATGACATGATAAAAACTACCCTCTATTAAATATTTATTGGGGCATCTGGCTGGCTCAGTCGGTAGAGCATGCGACTCTTGATCTTGGGGTTGTAAGTTCAAGCCCCACACTGGGTGCAGATGTTACTTAAAAATAAAATCCCTAAAAAATAATAATAAATTAAAAAATAAAAACTTGTTAATTGCTTTTTGTTCATCAATATTGCACAGGCTATTAAACCTTAAAGGAGAAAAACATATATATATATATATATATATATATATATATATATATATATTAGCATTTATATATAAAAAGGAGACTTAGAACAATGAAATGAAACCAAGTCCCAGACTGGAATAGGGCTAAACCAAAAACCCTAAAACTCCATCCCCCAATTCAGTTCTCTTTGCACTATGAATAATCATTTTCGATGCATGTTTTTTACATGGGGATTTTTCATCCTCTGGTGCCTAAACATCAGGAAAAAACTTGAAACGAAAACACAATTGCTTATACACAGATCACGTGAACTCTGAAATGATCTGTCAGCGCAGCTAGAATATTTGATGCTACAAAGCAAAACCAACATTCTGCATCTGGCCAGCAGATATGCTACTGGTCACGTGACAAAATTCTGTGCACACCACCCTCCACATTCCCATCACTGCCCCTCTTACTACTGGCAAACACTATTCTGGAAGCCTGAAGTGTCTTCCTGAAGGACATTTCACTTCCTTTATACAGAATTCTTAATTGAGAAGAAAACTTGCTCCAAGTCTTTTAAAAAAGTCACTTTTTCTACACCCCGGGACAGTTTTAAAAAATATATATTTAACAGAAGGAGAAGTAATGTTTTTCTTGATTATCTTCAACGTAATGAAAACTGACTCTATCTTTGTTTCAAGATTTGGGGCAGATTTGGCGAAAGTGAAATAAAAGTAACCGAGAACTACCCAGGTCTGGGTGTAATGCCTAGCTCTTCTAAACAATAGCTGTGTTGGTGGAGGCTAATTTAAACACCTGAGTCTCAACTTCCTCATCTCTTAAAAAAACAGAAATAATAATAATCATCATCTCAAAAACTGGTTGGGAAAACTGAACTACATACATATGTGAATGTACCTAGCACACTACTTAGCATAAAGTGTGTTAAAATAACAAAATATTTGTTAGGCTGGATTTTCACCCACAAATAATGTCTATAAACTGAAAATGACCAAAGGGGCCATGTGGTAAACCTATTTAACTCAGCAGGGTCAAGGGAAATACTGGCTGATATCGGCCTAATTTTTGTTTTCCCTCATTTAATAGGTATGTGAAGGTAGCAGGTATTTTATTTCTTTCTTGTATTTGGAGAACAACGGCAAATGAATATCAACAAGCAGCGATTTACATCTGGCCTCTGAGTCAGAAGGCAATAGAGACAGATGGGGACCACAGCTAACAGAAGAAGACACATCCAGGTAAAGAGAACAGTACCAACTTGGCTCTGGCTAATTTGTGTCATGATGCAAAGTGTTCTGATTTTTTTCAGAAAAAAAAAAAAAAAAAAAAGATCTATGGTTTTTATGTGCTAGATAGCATATCAAACATTTCGTTAAAAGCAAAGTGTAAATCAACAAAGCATGAGCCACACTGTTGAACCATAAACAGCCAAGAAGGACAATTTGAAAATCACTGCAAAAGGCAAAAAGAAGAACAAGAACAGGAAGTGGGGAGAGGGTGCTGGCCAAATTTAAGTGGAGCACAAAGGCATATTTTATGGCACCTCCAAATCACTGGCATCTTGATTGATCATCTGGCTCCCTGAGAAAATCCCTGTAGAGAATCATAAAGATGAGAGTCACGTACGAATGAAACACTGTAGGAGATCACAGGACAATGGTGCCTACAGAGACATAATTGATTGTCATCTCTGATCCCTGCAAGTTTGTGAACTAGAGGACTTTTCTTTCCCATTTAGTATGTAAAGGATTTACAGGGCTGTCAATTAATTTGCCAAAGAAGTACAAATAGCTGCTGTTAGGACCAGACTGTCAATCTGTCCAACCTCAGGTACAGAATCGCTTCCATCAGTCCACATCTGTTTGACCACCATATCATAAGCATCTATGGAATCCACAGGGTTCAGTAAATAACAAAATAAAATCTGGTCTCTTCCCGAAAAAAAAAAAAAATGCAAAATCCTACTGATCTAACAAAACTGGAAATAATCACAAGGCACGGAAGAATATGCCAAATCAGATGCAGGAACAATTAGGACAGAAACGAGCAACTGCTAAGTGTAGAAAACAATGTCAAAACTGCTTTCAAAGTATTCTCAAAGAATTAAGGTTAGAGGTTCTGAAGTCCAGCATTACTCAAATTTCATTCATTCATGCATGACACTTAGGTTACCATAATAACCTATCACCTGTATGATATTATTTCCTCCGTATTTTCCTATAAAATGACTTGTTCAGAATTTAAAGGAGGTACAGAGGAATTAAGTAATAAAACCACATCCAAAACAAGCAGGTGATGAAGACAAGACTGGGACCCAAGCCAGACCTCTTTTCATGCAATCAAAAGGTGTCCAGCATTTTCTTTTGCTTTACCTCTTTACCTACCACCGGCAGACACATACCAGAGGCATGTTGGTCAGGAGGCAGGACCTGGAGCTGCACCTACAATTCTAGGTGCATAAACTCCACCTCGGCATGAAAAGGCAAGCCAGAGTTTCCTATTTAGCTTTCCAAAATCGGTAATTATTATTTCCTAAAGAATAAAAGTCCACCTTATTCACACCTTCGAGTCAAGTTAAACATACCTCTCCCAATGTTGCAAAGCGAAGTCAACATTCTGCATCTGGCCAGCAGATCTGCTCTCAGCCACAAGAAAACAAAGTGAAATCTACCTCTCAAACCATTTTATGTACTATTAATAAAAACTAGAAGTCCATGACTTCAGAAAGGAGTATGGATTACTTTGTGGTGCCTTACTTCTTTTCCAAGCCTACACTTCAAAAAAGAAAAAAAAAATCTTAGAAAATCTTAGGCAATTTTTCTGTATCTGCCTGGCACTTTGTTATGACGATAGCTTTAACAGTGTGATCATCACACTGTAATTTCATTAAGCACTGGCTTTTTCTTTAGGTTCAAGAAAACCTTATGGTTTTTTATGAGCTCTGCACATATTTACTCAGTTTTGCTATGTAAGCATCCCTTTTTAAACTTATTGGAGGTAAAGAGCTTGTTTGACATCTGCTCAGAGGCACCTGATGTCAAGTTATTCCACGAAGCTTTGTGATCCCAGTCTGAGCAAATATAGAGCTGCTTTGCATCAGAAAACAATGTTTTATTTTTGAAAGTTTCCTTAATTTGTGCAAAAATTACTCTCACATGCACTGCAAGTGTGATGACCAGTTTGGTCTAACCTACACAGCATCCAAACACCTGCCAAAATGGCAAGTGGGAACACGGCAGCTGTACCAGCTTCTGGTTTGCCAACAGCCTCAGCTCATTTCTACATATTATAATTGCAATGACACATTTACACTGAACTTCAGTGGGCCATTTCAAGTAATTATTATTGATGTCTGAATATACTTTCCATTCATAGAAATACAGTAGGAATTAAAAGCCACTCATAAAAGTTTTCATACCCAAAGCGATAATCTGGACACCAGTGACAGCTGGATAGTCAATGATGACAATGTTAGCCAATGCTAATAATTCTTCTCATTCCAGGAGAGCTCCCTCTTCCTTTCTTCTCGATGAGTAGATCACAATGATAAAAATTGTCACTTTCTATTGTGTATAAAGCATAGAGCAACGGCAAATATTTCAACTGACCACACCCTAAATGGAAAATTGGTAACAGCTTTCATTAGCAGGCTCTTCTGAGGGGGTATTAGAGACTATAAATTAACAGTACTTATAATGTAGAGTTACACATTTCATACTATATTCATCATAGAGTGCCGAAGGCTGTATCAGCTTCCCTTCTCCACTGGCATTTACAGATTCCCCCAGAACAACAAAAATAGAACCTGATCCATAATAAATTTCAATTTACATAAAACTCCAGAGAAATATAGGAGGCATACCGAAAGCCCTTTCCCAAATCATAAAGTGTCTGATTTTCAGGGTACGATGATGCAAATACTCTCTTAAAACCCATTTTCAAAGTTTATGGCCATACGAAAAAGTTTATACACCCATACCATATGGTTACCCAAGCAAGTCTGGAAAATGATTTAAAACTTAAAAAAAAAGAAAAAGAAAAAGAAAAAAAAAGGGAAAAGACAGGAAAAGAGGATGGAAAAGCTGTCCAGAAGGGGGGGGGGGGGGGGCAACACCACATTAAAGCTTTGTTAAAATGAATCATTCAGATTTGGTTAACTACAGAGAAAAGAAATTTAGATTAAAAGGAACCGTTATTTTAAAAACCTTTCCTGCGATAAGTCAGACAACTCTAAATGCAGTCTTAGAACAGTGGGAAACCTTAACTCCAGACAGAAGGAAAGGGTGGTACTGGAGTTTAAATTCCAATAAAAGTACTCGCGGCGAAAATTCTCGTCTGAGATAAATTCACAGAAGGGGAGGGGAACCCAAGATCAAATGCAGGATTGTTTTTCCTTTGCCTTTACAGCTTAAAAGCCTCTTGGCAGCACCGGTAATCTGTCAGAAAGGGTGAAAAATTGCGCTTAATAGATAATTTTAAGACTTTACTCAAAAGATGTTAATAAATATACTGAAGCTTGGAGTTGGAAGCACTACCAGCGGTTTCATGAGCACCATGTTCTCCTTTTGCCGTCACCTGTTATAAATCTAAAACTGTGATCACTCCGGCTGCATGTTTCTTGCCTCTAAAA